TCTCTTCACTGGATTCCTGGCCATGTGCACCCGTATCGGCAGCTACATCTCTTCCCTGATGGCCTGGATTTCCTTGGTTTTCCAAATCATCACCACTTGCCTGATGACGTAAGTTCGGCCATTGACTACATTAATTGCATTATTAGAAAAAAACTGTACTAATACCTATGTTAGCGCCGTCTTTGTCCAGGGCCGCAACAAGTTTAACGCCAACGGCCAAACCGCGCGCCTGGGTGCTAAGTCATTCGGTTTCATGTGGACTGCTGTAGCCTGTCTCCTCATCGCTTGCGTAATGTACTGCCTTGGCGGCTCCGTCGGCGGCAAAGAGTCTGGGTACAGCGGTCGCGAGCACCGTCGTCGTGGTTTCTTCTCCTCCCAACGGTCCAATAGCGTCCGGAGTAACAAGGAGGCCAACCCATAAGCCAGCTAGCCATATCATCCCCCTTTCTCTCCGTCTGTCTACGAGGGATAGATTCAAGCGAATGATCTATCTGGAATTTCGGTGATGGGTGAGAACTCATGGTTAATAATAAGGGTTGCATTTCGACACAACCTCCGGCTTCGTTCATTATAAGTTGGGTGGGATAGCGGTGGCTAAAATGTCCAGAGCCGAACCCTGCTTACCGTAAAACATATCATGCTTCTCTTTCGCTGGGTTGTTATAATATGGTGGCTTAATTTACAGAGTCCCATGATCTTTTCTTTGTTTTCCTTTGCTTTATGGGTGATCGTATGGTGTATGTGGTGCTTTATGATATCTGATACTCTTTTGCTGTTACAATACGTACAAGGTATTAATTGTAATATAATTGATGTTTTGTCAACTACAACCAAGCTAACTTATCTACTTGTGGCTATGGAGAAGTATTAGTTTATCCGTAAGGAATCATATTTCTAGAGTCTAGGCCTCTCTATATACTTTTTAAGAAACCATCATTGATACATTCATCATCGAACAGTCATTGCAAGACAGGACGCGTCCAAGATAGAAGATCTTTCCTATCCAGAATCTCTTCTCATAAACCGATCATACCGAGACGAGGATATGACGCAGTAGAGATAGAAAGGAAGTGCATGATGTCTAATAAAATTTTGATGTTCTAATAAATCCATTGGGAAAGAGCAAAGCATTAACCGTGAGGTGCATCTGAAGATAGGAGGAAAATAGGTTATATATTACCGACGAAAGACTTAAGCAGCCTGCACAGCACCGCGGACGGCGTTCTGGCCGCCGACTTCGCGAGCGGTGATCTGCAGACCCAGGTCGGCATTGACGTGGACCATCAGCTCAACCTTGCTGCCGGCCTTGGTGCCCTTGACGGCAAGCTCGGCAATGGGCTTCTCAGTCTTCCAGACGATCTCGCGGATCTCCTCCTCCTCATCCTCGTCAGAGTCGAAGTCGGAGTCGTCCTCGTCGTCCTCAGTCTTGGGCTTCTCCTCCTTGGGCTTAGGCTCAGGCTTGGTGACCTTGATCTCGCGGACACCCTCGCAGACGCGAATGAAGACGTCACCACCGGCCTTGGGGGCGTTGTACTGAGCGACACGACGAGCGGGGAGGGCAGTCTCAGTGTTCAGGAGAGGCTGGAACTCGACGGTCTCACCAGAGGTGAACTCGACACCGATGGCATTCTTCAGGTGAGGAGTGGCAGTGACCATGGGGTGGATAGACTGCTCAATGTCCTCCTGCTCGAACTCCTGGATAAGAGAGGCCTGGATGGCAGCACCCCTGGGAACCAGCTCAGAGGGGTTGATGGCGCCAGTGAAGGTCGAAGGGGCAAGGATCTGAGTCTTCTCGGAGAAGATGTTGCGGGCAAGCTGGGCGATCTTGGGGGTGTGAGAGGCACCACCAGCGAAGATAACCTAAACCGTAGTTAGAACATCTCTTCTTATGCTACCGTAGATCCTGAGAAATAACACAAGGGACTAACCTCGTCAATGTCCAAAACATCCAAGCCAGCCTTTTGGATAACCTGCTCAATCAAGCCAGTGAACTGGGCGAAGGTCTTGCCGGAGAGAAGTTCGTAGCGAGTACGGTTGACGGTGGAGCCGAAATCGATGCCATCTGCGAGACTCTCAATGCTCAAGCTGGCGTTGGTACCCAAGCTCAAGGTCTTGCGAGCGCCCTCACCCTCGAGCTTCAACTTGGCGAGACCACGAGGGTTCTCGCGAGGATCGGTCTTGTGCTTCTTGATGAACTCCTTGGCGAAGTGGTCGATGATGATCTTGTCCAACGAAGCTCCACCCAGCTCGTAGTCATGAGCAGTTGCGAGGATAGTGTACATGCCACCACGGCAAGCAAGAACAGCAGCGTCGGATCGGGTACCACCGAGGTCGGCGACAACAACAAGCTTGTCAGTAACAGTAGCCTCGGGTCTGGCATCGTAAGCCAGGGCAGCGGCAACAGGCTCATGGATGAGCTGCAGAACCTCAAGGCCAGCAGCCTTAGCGGAGGCCGTCAAAGCCTCGCGCTGGGCATCGGAGAAGTCAGTAGGGATAGTGATAACAGCGGCATTGACCTCCTTGCCCAGATAGTCAGAAGCGGACTGCTTCAGACGACGAAGATGGCGGGTGGCAATCTCGGAGACGGTGACAGTGCTGGGGGTCTCGCTGGTAGAGTCCACAACGGAGAAAGCAACGGTAGATTCGTGAGGCTGAGGATGCGCCGAGTTATGGCATGGTGTGGCGTCTATCGACTTGAAGCTGTGGGGTATTCATGTCAGCGTGATCTCACATGAAGTAGTATTTTACATCAGCAATACGTACTCCTTTCCAAGGTAATCTCTGAAGTATGCGACAGTGTTCTTGGAGTTGCGGACCAGCTGGGCCTTGGCTTGAGTACCGTGGTACTCCTCACCATCAATGTATGAAAGGACGGAAGGAATTTGACGATCTGTGTATCCGTTAGTTTGTGCTTCAAGATGACCCGCCACTAAGCAGTAATGGAGAGAGAAAGATTAGACTAACCTCCTTCTTCGTTGGCGATAACTTCCGGCTTGCCCTCCTATATATTGATAACCATTAGTATTCAATTTCTATATTTTTTTTAAATTTATTTTTTAGTCTTAACAAGAATTCGTAGCCTAGAGAATAAATCCGAGACCTCGAATCAGGCTCACATACAGGGTTGATGCGGGCAATGGAACTGGAGGTGTTGCCAAAAGAGATACCGATAGCGAAACGCTCCGGGGTACCGTTTGTTTCGTTGCTCATTGTGAATTATGTGTAGAGGGTTATAGAGGGAAGGAAAAGGGAAAGGGAATGAAGAAAATGGAGATAGAAAATGGGACACAATTCGGGCTCCGCCTCAGAATGGCTGATTCTCTTCCTTCGTTTTCTGCCAGACGAAGAAAAAAATTTTTGGTCTGTTTGACAAGAAGGCGGGCAGATGTGGCTAGTGCTTATCGATAGCGCGGTGGCGGTGCGATCTAGACTGGGCAATCCAGAATCGTATGTATTGTACATATCCCTGTACAATAATTGTACTGGTCACATGAACCGGTCCTTCCTTGCATTGAGAACATTGTAGCTCACAAGCACTGTTAATATAGATTTTAAAATGATATCCTTGAGCTACTTGTATATAGCCACGTCAAGCCCGCTGATATAATGGTGCAGAAACGATCTCTCACGTGGAGATAGCCGATAAGCAACGATTTGCGCTTTTCACAGCCAAGGGCGATCCTTCAAGTCTCCACCGTCAGATCTCTTCAAAAGCGAAGACAAACCACCGCAACAAACCGGCCGGTGGACTTACTCCCTCAAAATGGCGTCGCCATTAATTCTCCTCCCGGGTGACGAAGTCCCCTCTGAATACATACCATCCAGCAACTCCGCTCCCTTGAGACTCGGAGCAGGTCTTCGTCTCCTCTCGCAACCATCATCGAATCCCCCAAGCCATGTCATATCCGCCACGCAATCCGGGCTCCTCTCAACAGACAACAAAAGAAATGCCGTCTCGATCCTCTCTACCCCGAACCGTCGTTACGTCCCGACACCCGGCGATCTCGTGATCGCGCAGATCCACCACTCCAGTCCGGATTATTTCCATTGCATGATTACGCCACAAGCGCCCCAGGCGCTGCTGGGACAGCTTTCATTTGAGGGTGCGACGAAGAAGACGCGGCCGATGCTGAAACAGGGTGATCTGGTGTATGCTCGTGTGTTGTCGACTGGTCTGGGCGCTGGCGCGGAGGTGGAACTTACATGTGTCAATCCAGCCACAGGACGGGCTGATGGAGGATTAGGTCCATTGACTGGGGGTATGGTTTTTGATGTGTCAACAGGGTTGGCGGCTCGGTTGATAAAGGCGAGTTCCTCGTCGGGAGAGCAACAGGATGGTGTGGCAGGGTTAGTGGTCTTGGATGAACTGGGCAAGAAGTTGGAGAAGGCGGGTGGATTTGAGATTGCTGTGGGGAGGAATGGAAAGGTTTGGGTGGATTGTGCGAATGGAGGCGATTATGCTGTCAAGGCGACGGTCGCAATCGGGCGATGCCTGAGTACCATCGACGAGCATGAATTGAGCTCGACAGACCAAAGGAAGTTGGTGACCAGGATATTACGAGAAATGAAGATAGAATTGTGATGTGTTGTTGTGTATTCCATATTATTATTATTATGATTTATTTTTTTAACTGTACACATCTGTTGTTGTTGATGGTGTTATTTCTCATGTCTCTACTAGTAGTTTACCACACTGAGCGCAATCCAAAAGCATACCCAATGGAATGTGTTATAATTAAGCAGGGAAAAGCAAAGAGGGAAGGCTTGACCGCTAAATTTCTAAAGCTTAGGCGCGGAAAAGGCCGCAACAGTCTGCCTCAGCTTTAGTGTGTCCCTCGGCCGGAACTTTTTTTTTTTTCCCTTCATTTTTTTTCCCTAATTGATTTTGACTTGATAACGTTATTGTCCCTGGCAATTTCAACTACATTCCTACCTCCACCTACAAGCTCCTTCCACGAGACCCAGGCGATCCATTATTTTACCACCCTTCCTCCCACCCCATGGGTAACGGGTCCTCCAAAAAGGCCGAAGATGGCATCCGCGACCACACGCGTAAGTTTACCAGAAGATGCCGGCGCGAGAAGCTCAGACTTTTTGAATGATACCTGACGATGTGCCTCGATCATAGAAACAGACGGGTCAAACGTCACACCAAGTCGCCCGAAAACTTTGAAGGTCAAGAAAAAAGAAACACCGAAGGGGCAGTCCGACGATGCAGCTACGCCGAAACGGAAACGAAAATCCAGCAAACATAGCACGTCCGCTGTCGCGCCGTCATCGTTCCCCGCTGAAGAGGAACCTAGGCCTTCGAAGCGCAAAAAACTCGCAGACTCGCCTACGGACACCACTGAGGATGACCGCAATACAGAAAAAGCATCTACCACCGCAAATGATACTTCGCCAGTCAAAGCTCAAGTCAATGGCAGCCCTTCAATCGAGGGTTCGAATGACGCCAGCATACAGCAGGAGACTGTTAAGAAAGGAAAGAGAAAGCAAAGCGGAAAAGGGCTAACAGGCTTTTTCTCGCAAGACGAAGTTCAGGCGCTGGAGAGTTTCAAGGTGGAGTTCTGTAACTCGCATGGTCTTCCAGGTCATGCGTTTGACGCGATGGTCCAACATTCCGAACGAGAGAAGGGCATTGAATTTCCTTGTGATTCGTCTATCACCATGAAGCCCGAATTCTGGAAGACAATTTACAAGATTCTTCCTGACCGGGATAGGAGATCAGTGTACCGCTTTATGAGGCGCCACTTCCAGAACTCTGACGTGAAGCCTCACCATTGGACTCATGAACAAGATGAGGAACTCATTCGGCTCGTTGCACGGTATGGCTTCAAATTCGCCCAGATAGCTAAAGAGTTAGGCCGGAGTGACGACGATGTTGTCCAGAGATGGAAGAATCGCTTAGAGCATAGGACTACGATGAACCGAGGCGCATGGTCAGAGCAGGAAATTCGCGGCCTGCAAAACGCCTTGCAGGCTGTATGGAAAAATTTGAAGGAAAGGGGCCATGATGTAGGCCGCGATATCTATGAGATGGACGAGACGCTCATATCCTGGGGACATATCAGCAATAAACTCAGAAATTGTCGTTCCAGACAGCAATGCGCAGATAAATGGCGCAAGGCTAGGAAAAAGGTTCAGCAACTGCGTGACAAAGGGAACCCGGATGCTGTTTTTGACCCCATCAAAGAGTCAAAGAACAGACACAAGTCGCGGACGTCTACCCCTTCGTCCTCGCAAACTCCACAACCCCTCCATATAAGCGCCGAATACGTTCATTCAGATGATTCAGATGAAGATGAAGCCGCGCACCAGGATGAAAAGAAAGGGAAGGCAGACAAAACGTCTACAAAGGATTCCACCTCTAGCGACAAATCCTCATCTTCCGACTCCGAATCAGAATCAACGGACGAGTCAAGCTCTGGTGATACAACTAAAGATGTGAAATCTGAGGCAAAGCGCAACGAACGCCCGAAGGTCAAAGACCAGTTGCAAACTACAGAGAGCATGGAAAACACAAAGATTATCCCTCAGAAGAGAAAACAATCCGCGTCATCATCCTCCGCATCAGATTCTGAAGATAGCGACTCGAGTACAGGCTCTGATGTACCCGCACATCCACAGACATCGACGAACGGCAAATCAAAGACTTCGCCAGTAGTCCCAAAGAACAAGGACAAGAACGAAAAGAGTTCAACTGAAGACGACTCGAGCGATTCATCCGATGATGGAAATAGTGAAAGTGATGGAGAGTCTGATGAGAGCGAAAGCGACGTGACCAGCTCCAGTGGCAACGAGAAAGGAAAGTCGCCGAAGAAGGCTTCCAAAAACATCAAGCAACAACCCGAGAAATCCTCGTCAGAGAAGTCCACATCGTCGGAAGATGAAAATGAAAGTGACGATTCCAACTCATCCGAATCAGAATCCGAGTCACCCCCAGCGCTCAAACCTATCAAGTCCAAGCAAAGGAGCACTAAGGAAGCAGGCGCCTTGAAACGACGCCGTGTAGCAGAACTTGCCTCAACTTCTACTTCCGCTCGTTCATCTGTTTCCCGAGATATCAAAATGGAGGTTACTAGCGACTAGTCATTGTCGAAGTTCGTCGACGAAGGGTCAGAAGAACGAGAAATTATAGTATGAGGTGCATGCATAAAAGATTGGCTGACGAATGATGAACAAACAAATGTTTGCACAAGTTTTGTCTAAGCGTTGATGAGATGGATCATAATTCTGTTGTTGGATGATGTTCTTGCTATTTATTTCCAAAAAGTTGTGTTTTCTTTTATTCATATACCCCATCATCCACATGTATAGTTCAGAACAAAGAATGACTTCGGACTCGAGAACGTATCTGTGATATGTAAAAGTGTAGACGCCCGTGCGAGTCGAGCAAGTTTCCGAGGCTTTCGATCGAAGCCTTGATACCTTAGTTCGGATAGAATTGAGCTACCGTCGATACATGCTACGGTCTCCTTCTATCTACTAAATATTACTACCCACGCATAGGTTCGGCGCTCAACCTCTGTTTGAGCATTCATTTACACCTCGAACGCTCCCAGTTGATATATCACACAATTCAGCACAAATCATATATCTATTGAATACGAGATATAACACACAATATAATGTAAACCTACAGCTCATCCTTCGTCCATTCCCCATCATCTTCATCCTCCTCATCGTCAGGCTGTGCCTCTTCACTCTGTTGCTGCTCAAGAGAAACCTTCTCCACCAACGCAGCAATCTCCTCATCATACTCAGTCCACTCGGGGACCTGGCGTCTAGCCCTATCGAGCTTAGGCTCCTTCGTCTGCGGGTTATTACATAGATCAATCGTTCTCGCCTGACCCAAAGACTCATCGGAGCACCAGGTCTCGCACCACAGCCACTCCTGCGGCAGACTCTTGATGGGGATATGGTGTTGCATGTGATTCGGCAGGTCCTGGTCAAGATTGCTCAAACTGTTCGGATCAGCAGACAGCATCTGGTATTGACCACGGAGACGGTCGCCGGCAGCCAGAGCACGGAATCGGCTCAGGTCGACCACGTAAAGGGCTGAAATGTGATAAGGCTGGCCGCGGAGGAAGTTCTTCCAGTATCCCTGTTTCCAGAAGCGGAAGCCTTCCATTTCATGGCGCGAATCGCACATGGGCGTGAAGCCGTAAGGAGCACCTTCTAGGTCTAGGTTGACGAGGTCGTACATGTCTGTGCGGACGACTTGGTCTGCGTCGACGAAGATGACCTTGTCCAAGGAAAGGGGGAAGAGAACGTCTAGGAAAAGGATTTTGTAACCCCAGATTTCGCGCTGCTTTTCGCGCTGGGCGCGGAGCCAATGTGGCCATTTGAAGGTGACCATTTCATAGGAGAAGCCGTATTCTTTGGCTAGATGGGGGAGGAACGACTTGAAGGAGGGAGAGAGGAATTGTTCGATGAACCAGAATTTGACAGAATGTTTGGTGTTCCGCATCACTGATACCATCATGATATTTAGCATTCGTTCGTATAGATGGCCGCTTGCCACTGAAAAGATGTTGATGTCCGCTTGCTTTTCGGTGGTGCTAAGCTTAGAGCCAGCACCAACGCTCGACAGGATGCCGGAGGCAAAGTTGAGCCCCTTAGAGACGTAGTCCATGGCAGATCCGGGCTTAGGATTTGTGTCCAAAACATCCTCAGACTCATGGCCCTTCTTGCGCGATAAGCGAGGGAAAAGGGTCTTGCCTTGGAAGGAAAGGAGTGCTACTTCATTATTCTCATCTCCGGGTTGCGGAGCGTAACCCATGCCACCAACACTGTCGAGCTTAAAGATACGCTCGCTGCGGCCTGGTTTCAGATTAATCTGCCACAGTCCTGGCTGAGCTTTAAATTGGAAGTAGCCTAAGTTGGCCATGATGATGGTGTCCGCAAAATACGGATTCTCCTGGGTACCAAGAGCTAACTGAACTCCCCTTGGCGGGGTCTTTGTAGTCATGTCCCGCGAGTGGCCTTCTATCAAAATGTGCTCCAATGCATAAATAGCATCAACATTAGATCCTGCCTTCAAGGTACTCAACTTGATGTTATCAAGATCATGAACGGAGTCCTTGGGAGCTACAAGCCAGGATGATGGGACATCCATGCCCAATGTAAGCAATGCCTCAACTGGCACACCCGAGAAAGAGGCGCCAGGTCTCAATACGGCACCATTACTGGCAAAAGAGGGCTCTGGATCCAAGACATAGCGGTAGAAACGTTTAATTGGAAGCTCCTGTATTTCTTCCCGCGCATTTAAGAAAAGTCTAAGCCTGACGCTTGCCAACTCTGAGAGTACCTTCAAGATTGGTAGCCATCTTTGGGCCACTTCAGACGTCGGGTCAATAGAAGCGACAATCGTGATCGCCGCGTCTTCAGAATTAGAGACGGTTACCACCGATTGCGAATCGTTCCACTTGTCGAATAGGTTCATTCGGACGTCCGTAGTCGATTCGAAAATACCTTCTGGGACATCAGATATAGTCGAGAGAGTAGCTAGAGAGGTTAGTTTAGCAAAAGCCAAAGGTCCAGAAAGCTTTGAGCCAATCTCGAGCTCCTTGACAGCCTTCGAAACAGGATCTATGCGCTTCGTGCGCTCATATGCCAAAAGCTGGTCAAAATCATCTGGCACCACTGTGTAATCAGCCGGTATAGGCCCAGCTGCTCTGCCATTGATTACAACACCGCTCGCTCCGGGAGTAAAGCCAAGCTCGCCAGCCAATGGCTGCTGCAACGCCCAAAAACGGGCAATTTCTGCTTGTTTATGGGCTGGCAGAGAGGTACCAGAAGACCCAATATTACCCAAGATCTGTGTGACATCCACTTTCTGGCTTTCCTTCAGTAAATGATATACAGATATGGATCCACTTGCGGCAGGTACATGGGCCGGGTTGTGAAGGAAGAGGATCTCAACTTCACTATGCTTTTGCCGGCTCTCCAATACAGCGGTGAGCAGCTTAGCACCGCTTTCGGAGTCAAAATCACCAACAACAATCATATGAACGCTATCGAGAGCGTCATCTTTGTCAGAAGCAATGCGCGGGAGCACACTCAGCCCTCCTTTTTGCGACTCTGACACCTTGGCTAGATCAACAACCCGGATATCCTTTGGATCCTCGGGTATCACCCAGGGGTTGCGGCGATCGAAGGCCTGGGAAAGAAAGAACTCTGGCAGCCATACGTCTTCCTCAAAAGTATTATCCATGATGCCTTGCTGGAGTGACTGTAGGTCTTTGCCTACCCTGTTGCTCATCTCTTGTACCCAATTATCATCCCGGATTACTGGGACGCCGTTGATGAATATTAACGATGATCCACCTGTGATCCTGAGACGATTCTGATAGTTAACTGTTCGAGACACTATCTCATCGAGCTTTTCATGTTTCAGAACCTCTGCGAGTGATAAGGCACTTTTATCAGCGCGGACTTTCCGCTCTTTGGTTGCAAGTTGGAAGGAAGTTTTATCTGGAGATGCGATCTTGTTTGCAGACAAAGACTGGGGAGAGTTAGCGTCTGGCAAAATATGCAACCGTTGGGGTAATTGGAGCTTACCTCCTCGAGGTACTGAATCAAACTCGCCAGACCGAAAGTCTCTTGGAGGTAATGTGCGACTTTAAGTTGAGCTGTAGATCCAGGAGAGGACGCAACAGGAACTAAGCCAAACCTCACAGGTATCTTTCTCTTAACAAACACCTGAATTGTCTTGACTACAAAGTTCATATCTTCAGTATCAGTCAAATCTACCGGGACTACGATGTTGTGCGCATCACGGCGGACCGGCGGTAGTTGGCCTGGGAATGTGGGCCGCAAGAACTAGCAACGATCAGCATGAATACCCAAAATAGCACATCGGATAGAGTCGCTTACTGCCCCTAATTCGCCTGGCCAAGAGTCATACTTGGCATCCTTTTCAAGGTCGTTCAGCCATATGAGGACCCCACCACCTTCGATGTCATCCCGGTAATTGTAACGTTGGGGTGCATCCTGTTCCAAAGACTCCCCAAGAAGCTTGTGAGACAGGAGATCTACGGCCTCCTGCGCAGAGATCTCTAGATCTCTAAATTTCTCTATTAATCTTCTTTCACGGCGTAAATGGTCTAGGAGAGAGTATGCATCGATTTTCCGAGGATCCATTTGGACCCCATTAATCCACATAACGTTAACTCCAGATGGAAGCATCCCCAGTCGACTAGAACGGATGTCTTGCAAGAGCTTGGTGGTGGCATTGTGGGCTGCTATTTTGGCGGAGTATTTGGGGAAATCTTGGGAGAGCTTCACAAGAGTATCCAGAGGATTGTCACTGTCCATCACGTAGCTAACAGTGTTCACACCTAGCCGTGATACTTCAGACGAGGACAACGGCCGAAGATCATCTGGAGCGTCCCCTTCTATATCGCCTACCTTGTTAGCCTCCCCATTGCTGGCTTCTTTCTGTCCAGCATCTCGGTCGTCGATCACAATATAGTCGGTTCGCTTTAACGCAAGCTCAACACCATAGCCGGAAACAAAAAGAGGTCGAGCGCTCCAGTGCTGAGGTGGCCGATATCGTACTCGGTAAGAAATCTGTCCTTCTTTGACCAAAGCACTCAGCGTCTGATGGAAATCCTTGAACATTGGAGATGCCACATCCGCGTACAGGACGGCAGGGGGCAGCGACGTGTCGCCCAAGACTCTATCAAATGGGAGCTCTCGCGGATCCCTGCAAAAGACAACTAGTTAGCGTACTGCCAAGCTTATCTTCAGAAGAGTGCCACCCACAAATCTCCAGAAACATCTTGCTGAGCGCGCTCCATTGTCGAGGAGCAGTACTGTTTGCCATCCGAATGTACCCATACCGGACAGGCTGCGTCCTGCGCTGCCATCAAAGAATGTTGTACGGAAGCATTATAATATTGGTAGTGGGCTGCGATTCGGGGACTCGCCGAGCGAATTGCCAAGGAGAGTTTAAACGACGAAAGGCTTTCGGAAGTTCTCAGATGGCCATCATCGTGTATAACCTGTAAAAACCGATCATATACTTCTTTGTCGGTCACAGCATCATCGAAGGCTCCATCAGCGATGCGGTCCAGCAGTGGGAAATAGGCAGTTGCGTTTTCTTCTGCGGCAGTTTCTCTATAATGTATAAGTCGCGGCATTGACTAGGGTGCCCAGAGAAAAGGAAGGCAGGAGGGAGAATTGCTTACAGAAGCTCTATGAGATACGGTGCCGAGTCAAATGAAGCCTGTAAAGCAACATTGACCGATGAGCTTGCGTGTACTAGGCTGGTCAGCACAGCAGCGACAATTACAGAAAGTCGCCATGATGCGACAGAACCAATGCCGGATATCATATCTGCTGCTGCCTTCTAAACATTCGTGTATACAGAGAATCGATTGATAGCAGTTTATCTGGCCCTTGACTGAGCAAGTCTAATTATAGTCTCAAGTCAAAGCAAAGTAAGCATAACGGGCGAAGGAGGCAGGCAATCTTAGAGGGGTGTAACAGAGGATGAGATCTCATGCAACGATGCTTCTATATGTCATGGAGGAGATGTCGGATGATACAGATTGATCCCCGACTGTCCGTTTCGAAAAGGAATGAAAACAATGAATGGTCATCACCATGTGTTCTGGCCACTTCGGCGCCTTGATGGAGAGCTCCTACGGGAGGCGCAGCGGCCACTTGCGCAGAACTTCCGTGTCTTCTTTCCCAACCCCTTATTGGCTAGTCGCATCCCTAGACCACCACCAATCCATGTGACAGCTCTTGACCTGAATAAAAAATAGGGCTAGGCGGGGTAATCCATGGATATATGATTTAAATCAAGTTGCCCGGCCAAGCTGAATATATTTCGAACAACAGGTTAACTAAACCTCGTAGAGCCAAGCCCACCCCCTTTCAGTTTATTATTCGAGCGTATAAAACATCACCAAACTCTGAATGCAAGCAGAGAGTGTTGCCATACAGAGTTTCTATTGCTGTAATCTTCTGTCGTAATATTTTAAATATACTATACTAAATTAGAAGATATTCATATGTTTCGAGTTTTCTATGGTTGAAAACCTTTATGCTTAACGCAGCGGCAAAATCGTGCAGCAGATGGTGATATGCAGTGGGTGGTGACCCGAGGTTACAACATACTAGGCAACTCTCGCTCTCTAGATGCGAGCAGCCTGGAGAAATGGGTACACGAGTAAAGGATTTTGCATCATAGACAATTGCAGGTCTACCCAGTACATAATAACCATACAACCCAATTTTTATCAAAAATCTCGGGTTCCTGAATTGTCTTTTTTTTTTTTTTTTTTTTT